ACCTGTCTCACCAGAGGTTTATTAATTAATTATTGTTTTCAAGAACAAAATTTTACTTTTGTTGAGTCTTTTTTATTACCTTTGTTTCTCGTTTCCTTAATTTTACTCCTCTTATTATTTTCTTTCTTATACTTCCCTTGGGTTTAATTTGGTGAAGTTTTCTAACATCATGAGATAAATGATTTGTTTATTGATTTTTAATCTTTCTTCTTTTCCTTTCAATATTATTTTATCTGTAGCCCACATATTTTGATATAATACTTTCATTAGTATTCAGCACAATTGTTTTCTAATTTTCACATGCTTTCTTCTTTGACAATAAGTTGTTTAGATGTGTATTTCCTAATTTTCAAGCCTATCAGAGTATTCTAGTTATTTTCCTACTCTTGAGTTCTAGCATAATTGCATTGTGCTCAGAAAAACTAGACTGTATGAGTTCAATCTTGTGAAAGTTTTGAAGCTTATTTTATGTCCTGGCGTATGGTCAGCTTTTGTAACTGCTTTTTATGTGCCTACAAAAAAATGTCTATTCTGGGGTCGTCGGGTAAAGTGCTCTACCTGTGTTATTTATGTTGTTCAAATTATCCAGATCATCCATAACTTTTTTCTACTTTCATTACTGAAATTAAGTGTGAGAAAATCCCCCACTATGGTTGTAGATTTTTCTATTTGTCTTATAGTTCTGACAGCTTTTTAAAGTATATATTTTGAGGCTATGTTTTTAAATGCATAGAAACTTAGAATTATTATTTCATCTTATTAAGCTAAAACATTTATCATTATGGAGTGTCTCTGTTTAACTCTACTAATACTTTTGCCTTAAAGTTTATTGAGTCTTTATTAATATAGCCTCACCAGCTTTCTTTTAGTTATTGTTTCCATGGAACACTTTGGTTCGTTCTTCTGTTTTGAACTTTCTGTATCCTCATGTTTTAGGCATGTCTTTTGTAAACACAGATAGTTGTTTTTTTCAAAAAAATTCTTACTACTAATCTTTGATTATTAATTGGAGTATTTAATCTCTTTGCACTTATTATAATTATTGATACATTTGGACAAAGAAGTCACCATCTTCCTGTGTGTTTTCTATTTGTCCCAGTTGTTCTATGTCCTTGTTTCTCTCTTTTCTTGCTACCTTCTTTTGGATTACTTGAGTGATTTTATCATTAAGTTTTCCTTCTCTTTTAGTTTGGAAATTATAATACATACTTCTTCATTTCTATTCTTTTAGTAATAACCCTGAAATTATAACATGCATTTTTGGTGTATCAACGTCTAATCTTAATCCACATTTTATATGGGAGATAATTCAAGAAACTTGAAACTATGTAACTAGATTTAGTTGCCTCTAGATTTATGTGTCATTGTTGTGTGCATGAATATTAATACTGCATATTGTTCACTTCCTTGGAACACTTTGGGAGTCCCTGAACAGCCTGAAAACCATGAGACTAAGATGATCCAAGACCCCATCTACTTTAACATTTTATAAGCCTGGAATTGCAATTTATTAATTGATTGATTGGGTGAATGAGTGACAGAGTCTCACTCTGTTGCCCAGGCTAGAAAGCAGTGGAGTCATCATAGCTCACAGCAACCTCAAACTCCTGGGCTTAAGGGATCCTCTTGCCTCAGCCTCCCAAGTAGCTGGGACAACAGGTATGCACCACCACGCCGGCTAACTTTTCCTATTTTTAAAGTAGAGACAGGGAATCTCACTTTTGCTCAGGCTGGTCTCAAACTCCTGAGCTCAAGGGATCCTGTTGCCTCTGCTTCCTAGAGTGCCGGAATTACAGGCTTGAGCACCATGTCCAGCCAGAATTGCACTTTAAAATGTTAACTGGACCAGCACTTTTGTGGATAATGCATTCTTAAAATGTAATTGCAGAGAAATGAGACACGGGGTTTTCATGTTTCCAAAACCAAGGAGGTTGGCACCTAAACAGTGAGGGCCATCTCTTTGCAATTAAATGCAACTGAAAAGCAGGGAACACTGGTAGGAATAGATGAGATATATTCAAATGACAGTTAAAAAAAAAAAACAACTTGGACTTGCCAGCAGTCTGTAGCTCACCTAAGACAATTAATTCCAAAAGGCCAGAATCACTTTATTCCCTGCTAAAAATATTTTTGTTTTCCTGTTTCCTCTCAGACCCAGGCCTGTGGCCTTTTCTGATTGACACTGTGAATGCAGAAGGAAGAGGCAAGGTCATTTCTGTATACGTGTAAATAGAATTGTCTGAATGAAGCTAGGACGAAAGTTTAAGCTCCACATTGGTCTGGTTTAACAGGGAAACTTTTCTCATAATTAATCACAGATGAAAGTCATTAAAAAGGCGTTACCATTTTCTGGGGAAAAACCATGGGAGATGTTGCTTGGTGAAATTAAACTTCAATTAAATTATGTTCCACATGCACCCTAAAAGCAGAGAAGTTTTTACCATTCATATTTAACTTAGTTCAGAAAAGTGGAAATACTCGTTTTCGATAGTGTGGCTGAATATATTAAGCACACCTCCTCTTGTTATCCTAAATTTTCACCTGTCCCTGAAGCTATGTGATAATGTAACCACGGACCGCTTTGACATCTTGGTGCAGGAAGTAAGCACATTTATTTTATAAACCACCCTACTGACTTTTCTGACCCCACTTGGGCATCAAAAGCTATAAATAGTGACATCACAGCACTAAGCTGCTAATTTTTCCAAGAGCTCAAACTGTATTTCCCTGTTGGAAAATGATGTTTCTCTGAGTTGATAGTGATAGACAGGGAAGTCACACTTCTGAAGGGCAAATGACTCAGCATTGAGTCACTGAGTCATTGGTCCCCAGGGGAAAGTATTCCATAAGCTCCTGCTCTCTGGATACAATCTCAGAGTCTATAAGGAACCACCAACATCCTCTGCTCCAGCCTGATTTTGTCTTTGTCTCACAGATGAGACAGTTGATACCCAGACATGTGAAATGATTTGTCCAAGGTCATAAGACTAGCAATTACCAGTGGTCTCGTAATGTTTAAATCATATTTCTCAGCAAATACATGGAAATGAGGATTCCAGAATCCACATTAGTATAAAGCAAGTTTCATTTTAACAGCAGTGTATCCAGCAACCATTATCTTACTGATCTCCAGTCTCTGCAATGAGAGACAGCATCACAACACCCACAAAATCATATTCACAGTTTCTATAGAGCACGAAGCCCCTCAATCCCCTCTCTCCCTAACTTTCAGAATCTAGTGATGGATGAGGAAGGCATGTGATGTCTTTGCAAGCCAGACTTGACAAACACTGAAAGCATCTGTCAAGAGAACCTGGTCCTTCTGTTTTGCCGTCTAGGACACCTGCCAGATTTTGCTGTGTTAATTGGCTCCTGTGCAGGCAACAATTTTAGCAACAATTTTGTGGGTCTTTGGTGGCACATCTTGATTTAAAGTGAACTGGTGAAAAGCATTTGTCAACTGCTCAAAGCTTCCAGGGTTGCTCAAGTTTAGCTGTTTGGACAGAGAGGGAGGCAGCCTTGAAAACTGCTGTGTAGACATAAAACTAGATTATTCGGGCTCCTCAAATTCAGAGAATAATTCTCCAAGAGATGATGACTAAGAGGTCTGATTTCTCCCTCAAGAGATACTTTACCTAAAGTCTGATGGAATTGAAAAGAGAGTTTATGAAAAAAATGCCAACATGACCTTAAGTAGGCAGACTTTGAGTTGACACCATAATGAGGAATGGGGCGCTATTAAAATACACTGAACATTTTAATGACTCCACTAGCAGTAGGCCAAAAAAAAAAAAAAAAAGAAGATTTAAGCTCTGAATAATTCTGGGAAGGAGGATTTTGCCAAGGAGATTTTAATGTCAAGAATATATGTGAAGCTAAAAATAAGGTGCTCACACGAATCCCAGAGCCGTGGGTGGGGATGTATATATAATCAAATTAAATTATTCCACTTCCACTTCTGGAGAAATCTGATGGAAGAAATTGACTACAAAACATTTAGTCATATTTCACTTGGATTATGCTTATAAATACCAAACTCCAGACCTGTCAAAATAAGCCCCACCAGCGCTTCCCGGTCGAGGTGTTAGACAAAGGCGACATGCAAAAACGGTAAAGAGCTTACAGAAACATCAAGCCTGGAGAAGCCACAGGAATTCAGCTCTCAACTAAAGAGGTGGTTCAGAGAATTAAAAGGGGGGAGAATTGTCCCTGAGGTGTGAGGAGTGGAGCCTACAGTGGCCCCAATGTTGAATGCAGAGGGAGGAGCCTTCAGAGAGCGTCAAAGACACATGAGTTCCAGGTCCTGTCTGAGATAGGAGGTCAGGAGCCTGTGGCTTTTTAGCACAATCTTTTTCCCATCAGAGAAAGTGTCCCTCCATTTTGACCTTGTCCTGGAGGGCCAGCAGTTGTGATCTTTCCACAAATCATTTGTCGATACAATGCGAGTGTGAGCTTGGCTGCTGCCAACACATCCATCTGCAAACCAAGGCTATCCACAGAGGAGGTGCAGAGTGCCAATGCCTAGAAATGAATTTGTTGGCATTTCAGGGACAAACATCTTGTTGGCTACAACCACCACACCTCCAATCCAAAACTGTGGAAAAATGTCTAGGTTTTGTTAAGTCTTTTATTTGCTTCTTCAGTAGTAATATTGTGCCCTCTGCTTGCCTGTCTCCTCAGTACACCCCACCCAGGATCTTGGGCCAGTGATGTCTCTGTCCGTTGGGTTCGGGTGCTGACCAGTGGGAAGGAGGGCTGGGAAAGGTGGAGATGGAAGGTGTGTCCTTGCTGGCTGGCGTGAATAATTAGTGAGTTCCTGTTATTCAATACTTGCCAATGTAGGTGATGCACATGCATTAGAACGTTTCCCTTGTACATCCCCCAAGTGATGAAAAGCAGGGTGGAGAAGCTGGCTCAGGTTTCGTGCACATGCCCAAGCAGGTGGCGGGGACCCAGGAGAGCTGATGGGGCTCACCCTAGCACTGCCACTGCACCCAGGTCTAGATGAACTCTGGTTTCGACAGAATCTGCATCTCATGCCGCTCCATCCTCTCCCGGAATGTCACTCTGGAATCCTGTGATCTTTGATCCCTGGAGAAGGTCAGAATAAAGCAGGGAGGGAAAATAATTCAACCTGATGAAGAAGAGGTAGAGATGTTATGAGATAATAGTTACGGAAAATGTATTAAAGATCAGACAACTGTGCTGGGCTTTGACATACGACACCCCCAACCTTCCTTCTCCACTACTCACAGCCTTCCTTCCCACTGGTCAGCACTGAGCCCCGTGGACAGAGGCATCACGGGCCAAGAGGTAGACTCTGCTATCAGTCCCATTTTACAGATAAGGAAACTGAGGTTTATAGAAGTCAAATAACTCATTCAAGGTCACAAAGCTATGAATAAGCAATTGTAGGATTTGAACCTCAGCCAATAGCGTTAAGCTCAAGCCTTAAACCATTCTACTATTCTATCTCCTGTGGATTTCTCTACCTATGCTCTGTAGCTCACACAAGAAAACAGCTAAAAAAACAACAGAATGACAGTAGTTATGAGAAAGATTTAATTTCAAATCTGCCACTGATTATTCATATAACCTTAATAATGTCACTTAACCTCACAAGCCTTACTTTGTTTACCTATAAAATGGTAATAATGCTCCACGTCCTGTTATCACCATAGGATTGTATTGAAGCAATCCATGTGGGTGAGCTTTGAAGAAAAGAAAGGGCTTCTAAATATGTCATGATATGATGTAGGAGAAATAGCATGAGCTGTGCCTGGGCCAGGGTTTGAATTTGTCACACTAGTGGAAACTTTCTGACTCTCAAGTGTCTCATCTATTAAAAAGGGATTCCATAACCTGCCTGGGAGTTTCGGCATGAGGAACACATACATTGGAATCCCAGCGCAGTGGCCATCAGCGTGTCTGACCCGTGCAAGAGCTTCCCTTACCCCCAGGGGAAGCAGATGGAGCTGCCGAAGGCACAGTAGATGAGAGGGTTGATGGCGCTATTCAATGCTGGCAGGTTCTGAATGATCACAGAGGCATAGAAACGCTCCTTGGTGTCTGGAAGGAGGTTGAAATTGTCCAAAATGTCAAAGAGGAAGTATGGACTCCAACAGCAGATGAAGGCTGGGGGAGAAGAGCGCGTTAGCACCATTGCAGGCTGCAGCTGAGGCCACAGTCTCTCTTGGTTAGCCCTGACAGGACTTTCAGCTAAGAAGTTCTTTGGCACCTAGGATCTCTCAGAAATACTGGGGTTGGGTATGCTGTTTAGAATAGTGGTCTGTGTTGGCACTAATGTCACGTCCACTTAAACACATAAACACATTCATACGTACAGCTTTAGACATATTCCTAAAACTGAGTAAATACTCTTCAGCTTCTCCGTCTGCGAAGGGGAGGTCCAATTTCTACTGTTGTGGACTCTGTATTGAGAGCCTGGGAATGACTGTATATGGCTGTACCCTCTCATGCAACACAGGGCTAAAGAAAAACAAGACAAATCCTCAGGAGACTTTCTGGAAAAAGAAGAACAAGAAGCTTTTTGACCAGACAGTGACTCTTTGTTTGGGTGTATGGCAGAAGAAAGGGGTGATAACAATGTTTTCACAGCACAGCCCAGTTTCATCACTATGTTCTCAATTTTCTTTTCTATTTCTAAGTTAGTCTGTCCAAAATATACCCACCCAATGCTCCTTTCCAAATCCACTGATGTGTGTGAGACCCTGATTCTGTTTGGCTCCCAATCCTCAAGGAAATGGGTAGGAAGTGGGGATACAGAACATGATGGTTAATTTTATGTGTCACCTTGACTGGGCCATGGGGTGCCCAGATTTTGGTCAAACATTATTCTGGATATGTACGAGGGTGTTTTTGGATGAGATTAACATTTGAATCAGAAGACTAAGAAAAGCAGATTTCCCTTCCAGCATAGGGGGGCCTCATCCAATCTGTCAAAGAATAGAATAGAAGAAAAAGGCTGAGTGAGAGGAGATTCACTCTCCCTACTTGCCTGTCTCAGAGCTGGGGCACTGATCTTCTCCTGTCTTCATACTTGGAGTCAAACTGGAATTTACACCATCAACTCTCCTTGTTTTCAGGCCTCTGGACTTGGACTAAAACTTATACCATTGGCTTTCCGGGGTTTACAGCTTGCCAACTGCAGATCTTGGGACTTCTCAGCCTCCACAATCATATGAGCCAATTTTTTTTAGTATTTCTCTTTCCCTTCCCTGACCATCACCCCCCACCCCCATTTCTCTGGAAAGCCCAGACTAGGCTTTCTACACACTCTAGGATGATTGGACACACACATGTGTCTCCTACTTTCTTACCACATTCTCTCCACCCCCTGTCTCCTCCTTTCACACCCACAGCATTTTTTCTTAGAGCAGAAGTCTGGTTCTTTAGCCATCTGAGTGCAGGGGCAAGCTTTCCTCCATAACTGTTCAATGGGAATTCTGTAACTTGTTGGGGAGCTTTAGAAGGAGAAACTGACTGACTTATGGGCCCCCATCCCACCCCAGACCTTGGCAATGTATTAAAGGGGAGCAATTCAAACACGGAGACAACGGAGCATTCTGGACTCTAGGTGATTAACTCCAACATTGGCCCAGCAGAGTGGTTTGGGGCACCAAGGGGCAAAATGGCCCTGTGTGCTTGTGAGTGCATGGGGGATGATTCTGGTCGTCACGGAGATGCCAGTCCTCCTGCACAGTATAGGCAGCCCAGCCAGCAACGATGTGTCTCATGCCCTATACAGCCTTTGAATGCTGAACTGGACATTCGCATAGGGGAGAATGCTGTTTATAATTACCCCATCTGAAATCTAATTCTGTTTTATAAATGAACACAGATGTTTTTTAAAATACTGAACTTCCCAGAAATGCAATTTCCTTATAAGTAGAGAAAAGATTATTTTCTCAAATTTGAAATTTTACATTTTTTGCTTGCTCAGAAAATCAAGTCACTGACAGCAATATTGCTTATATTTTTTATGTCTCCATGAAACACACCTGTATTGGTTTTCATTTGTAGCTGTTACTACGTCTAGGTGTAAGCAACTCACTACTTCATTATTCTTCTGGTGTAGCTGTGCTGAAGAATTTGCATATTAAAATTGGTATTGCTTTATTAAGATTTTTTTTCTATCCCTCCTTTATATTATTTTTGGGACAATATATTCATTTTTTAAGAATTATGGTGAGTAGGTAGTAGTATTATGTATATCTTTTATTTCAGGATGGTAAAGGGGCATTATAACATATTTTTGTAGGAAGGGCCATTCTGGTCTGATGGGGGGGTGTCAGCACTTGCTGACTCTTTAGTGGACACCCCTGCTTACAGATGGGAAAGGGACCCCACAGGGCCTGGGAAAATGGTTTCTGCCTAACAAGGGCTATGCTGGCTCTGGAACACACGTGTAAGCACACATTGCCCAACTCAACATCCAGGGAAGGCGCGTTGGTGATTCCGATTGTGTGGGAAAGCAAGGGAGTCTTTGATCTACTTCAGAAGCCACTAAGAAAGGTTTCTGAGCCTTGGTGGGTTGTATGTGCTTTATCTTAGTTACTCCTGCAGCGTTGTGTGGTGTGTGTGTGTTCTGCTGGCTGAGTCAAGCTGCGCGTGGTCTGTTTGGCATTTCGCAGTTGCGTTTTAGAAAGGTGAGAAGGACTGTTCTGGCGGTTTGACATGCAGCTAATGGAAGAGCTATGCTTTCTTGGAGCTTCAAAACCTGCCAGAGGGGCAGGGAGGGGGAGGACATTTGAGCTAAATCAGAAGAAAATAGCACAAATCCCTTTCCTTTTTCTTGTCTATCCACACTCATTCGTTCAACAAATATTAATTGAACAGCATGTGTGGGACCCAATTTTAGGCCTTGGTGATAATAATGTAAGTGACACAAAAGCCAAAGTCATTGCCCTCATGGATTTATTACTCCAGCTGGGAAGACAGACAATAAGAAAATCAATATATATCCTGTAGTGTCAGGTAGAAGTAGGACCCATGAAGAAAAATAAATCCAAGTGAAAACTAGAGAAGGGCTATTTTAAAAAGACTTGTCAAGGAGGCCTCAGCGAGGTGGCATTGTTGGTGAACAAATGAGGCTAGGAAGTAAGCCAGGCCACCCACCTGTGAGCAGAGCAGATGGGAAATGGTGCAAGGTGACTTTATGGTCTTAAGAGTAGAAAGAAAGGAAGAGGAAAGGGCAAAAGACAGGAGGATGGAAGGGCAAATAAAGTGGCCATAAGGGAGTGATTTGTAGTGACTCTGAAATTAAATACCCAGAAGAAATGGAAAGCCACTTTTATATTCCCTTTACTCATGCACTTTGGCCCCAGAGGAGAGTGTGTCTTAAAGGAAGTGACTGAGCAGGTGATGTGACCATCTGCTTCAGCTAGTTACGTCCTAATCAGATTTTCTCCAAATTATCCAACCTATGGCCTTGGTGACAACTGTATTCATAAGGAGAGGCATTAGGAACCAAATCTTGACTCTTGAAGGAGCCAGAGATGGACTGACAGGTTCTGCACATTCTTTGCCAATCAGACAAAAGTAGAAGTGCCCGTAGAAAAATTCCTTTCTTGCGTGGGCTTTCTGTCACCAAGTCCCAGGTGCAAGTTTGCTTTTGGAATGGTCAAACAGTTCCATGACACAAGGAGGGACACTGCTTACCAAGGATGATGACGATGCTATACTTGATGGCCTTGATTTTTGCCTTTGAGATGAGCCCTCGGTTGTAGCTGGAGCACAGTTTCCCACCTGTCAATACAACAGGGGAATGGTAAAATGAAGTGCTCAAGATGCGACATTTTGTTTCTGCCAGTAGAACCATCAAAGGTTAGACTCACAATTTGCACACAAATAGGACTGCTTATATCCTATCCATCTAAGCCTAGAAGGCCTTCCTTGGAAATTTTCAGAGTAAAGATGGCTCTGGGTTGGTTGCTGTAAAATGCTCAGTTTGCAGCGTAACATCATATGCAAATACTATGGAACACCCAGACTCTCTCAAGAGACTTGGTTGGATGGCCTGAATCAGCTGCAGCTGGAATTAGACCATGTGACTGCAGGGGGTGAGGCCTCCCCCATGGAGGGCTATTTCCTGAACCTGTGCTGTCACTTTAGTAACCTGGGCAATGTCATTTTCCTAGAATTGTTGCCCCAAACCAACTCATTCATCTAACTCAAGAAGTTCACTCTCAAGAAAAGTTCAAGCCAGAGGTATCAAATAGGAGCCTGGATATAAGTTTAATCATATGTTTGCTGTTGTCTGATTATAAAACACTTGAAAAGTTAAGGTAAGAATCCACTAGAATATAAGCTCGATGAGGACAGGGGCTCTGTTTCCTCCACTTCTGTAGTCTATCAACATATTGAATGATTAATGCATATTTGTTGAATGAATTGATCAATACCAACCTCTGATTAATCAAGAAGTAGTGGTGAAACAAAGGTTGACTAGGATGGACAGAATTCAGTGTAACAGATCTTAGTAAAAGGAGTGGATAAATGGCAAATTAGGGGATGAAAATGTTGGATGCATTGTCCCTTACCTCTGTGGAAGAGTTTTATTGTTAGGGCTTCTGCCAGCCCATATGGCACCTTTGTGAAAATTAGGAAAAGGGGCCTTTCCTCTGGATGAACGCAGACCAGCCCACAGCACACTCAGTGAGGGAGGTGTGGAAAGGTGCCAGCCCCAAGTGCCCCTCAGCTGGGAGCTGTCGTGTGGGGCTCAGTGGGCACAACCCTAGTGATGGCCAAGGTCAGTGCCCACCCAGCGTATCTAGGTCACACAGGGCAGGGAGGTCGCACACTAGGGAACCAAACTGCTGTGCTCAATTGTCCTCACGACACCATTCGGCTCTCATAGATGAAATTAACTTTAATCCCCACAGAAAATAGGTCAGAAGTTTACCTTTGCAATATTCTTTCAATCCCATCTCCAGTCCAATCAGCCCAATCCAACAAGCAAAGCACATCTGCTAAAAGATAAGGACTGAATAGAAGGGCTTCTGATACAAAGGATGAGTTTGGCCTGCCTTTCTTTCTGTCTCATATGCTTGCTTTTGCCTTCCACATTCTGCCTGGGATGTCCCCCCAGGTGAGCAATGCTCTTAGACTTCCCAGCCTCCAGAACCATGAGTCAAATAAATCCCTTTCCTTTATAAATGACCCAGTCTGTGCTATTCTGTTATAATGGCAGAAAATGGACTAAGACAAATGCCAACCAACCGTGGACAGAGAAGAGACCCATTTTCCCACCACTGTGCCAGGAGGCTGTCTGGCAGGTGCAGAGAGCATCAGATAAGCTGGAATGACACGGGAAGGGGCCCAAGGCGAAGGTGGGGTACAGGCATGGGACTGGGAGACGTGGGAAGCAGAGGGAGTATCCTCAGCCAGACATGGGAAAAGAAAATGTAGGATGAGTTTGAACTACGGTGAGTCATCTTGCTTGGCTGTAGCCTGCAAGTGCGTGGGGTTTGAGGGTGGAGAGGAGAACTGAGGGCAAACTGGAGAGAACTTGAATGTCTTTGGGTGGAGTTTGGACCAAACTTCTGAAGCAGCAGGAGGCCACGGGAGCTTTGTAGTGTGAATATTGACTCATTGGAGAGGACAAGCTGTTATCAGGAATAACAGGAATGGGGGCTTTTTGGGCGCAAAGAACTAAAATGCTAATTATAATGGACTCATATTCCTTCATGTATACCCATAAGCCCACTCTTTAGTTCTATTATGGTCTTCAAATTATTCTGTGCATTTCATAGGTCCACAAAAACTTAGCACTGTAAGGAAGCCAATGCTTCAGAAGCATTTACAGCAGTGGTTCTCAGCTGGGGGTAATTTTGCTTTCCAGGGGACTTTTGGCAATGTCCAGACACATTTTTTTTTTTTTTTTTACAGGCAGAGTGTCACCCAGGCTGGAGTGCAGTCGTGTGATCATAACTCACTGGAGCCTCCAACTCCCGGGCTCAAGCCATCCTCCTGCCTCAGCCTCCCAAAGCACTGGGATTACAGGCATGAGCCATCACACCTGCCAGGACACATTTTTGGTTGTCACAATTGTGTGTGTATGTGTGTGTGTGCACACGTGCACTACTGGCATTTAGTGGGCAGAGGCCAGGAATGCTGCCAAACATCCTTCAATGAACAGGACAGCCCCTATGACAACAAATATTCTAGTCCAAAATACCAGTCATGCCAAGGGGGAGAAACCCTGATTTTTGGGATGGTACCTTGGGAAGGATGCAGGCTTTGGGATCATGCTGTAATCGATCCGCCAGCTCTACCAACCGCTAACTATGTAAACTTAGGCAAATGAGCCAAACTTCCCAGCTTCAGTTTTCCCATTTCAAAAATGAGGTGTAGAAAATCACACTCACAGAGTTACTATGAGGAATAATAAAGTATTCAAAGTACCAAGTCACACGCTGGGGATGTTGGTTGCTTTATCAGTTGGGGTGAATGAAGTTTTAATGGTATTTCAGGTGGAAAATGAACTGTCTTTATAAAAGCAAATAGAAGGTCTGACTAAATTAGATCGTCTATTACACAAGGTTGTTATCTGTATGGAAATCACATACAGCGGAAAAGGATCAGGGTGGGATTCTACCTGTGGGAGGCAAGGAAAGAAGACAGCTGACCAAATTATATTCTTTCCAAGCATCCCTACTTGCTGGAACAAGGTAACAGCTGGCCTCTAAACAGTGTGGCTCTAAACACTCAGTTGGTCTTTCAGAAGGATTTTGAGAATGACATTTGTGCTTTGAAATCTGTTTAAAACAGAAACTCGCAGTACTTTCCACAGGGCAACCGGGTGACAATATAATCAACTACCTGCCCTGAGATGGGTGAAAAGCGTCTTTAATCTGACCACTGCAGGAAATGCAAAGCCTCCAGCTTCTAAAGATGGCTCTTCAAAGAGAGCTGAGCTACAAAATGCCAGTAATTCTCCTTTATTGGGAGATAAAAGGATTATTTCTACTCAAGCCTTGGCACTGAGCTGGAGTAAAAAGCAGTTAAATTCAGCTGTCACTGTGCATTAACAGCTCGGGTAGCCTGGAGGTGGCAGGTCCATTCGATTTGGGACTGGAGGAAGCTCACTGACTGTTTTAGCTCCAAGGTACATCCCTAATGGGGGCCCATGCTGGAAATTTGCTCTCCAAATGGCCACTTCTGGTTCCTTCCCTGGCTGCAGGCCTCTTACAGAGCCACTGGGAACCCATCTTTATGTGCGCTGAGCACCCGAAGCTGGAACAAAACCTCGGGATGCTAAATGGAGGCAGAATTTATTCCTGGGGGTTGGGGGATTCACCTGTGGTCCTATAATGAGTACAGGTGATTTGTTTAGAAACAAGGAAGTCTAACTGGCAATTTTTAAAAATAAATATGTTTCATATAGTAGTAACATTCATCAGGTGTTGGGCAGGTGACGGCGGGGGGGGGAGGATGGGATGGGTATATCCACACCTAATGGGTGCGGTGCGCACTGTCTGGGGGATGGACATGCTTGAAGCTCTGACTTGGGTGGGGGAAAGGCAATATATGGAACCTAAACATTTGTACCCCCGTTATATGCTGGAATAAAATATAAAAAATTAAAAAATTAAAAATAAATAAATATGTTTCATATGTTGGAAACTTTATGCACTTTAGGTTGATCTAAAAAATTAAACATTTTTAGCAGTTTTTCTTGATTTCTAAAATTTTTAAAACTTGAAATTCATTTTAAACAGTAATGGCCTCTATAAATACAAATACAGAAAATGCCCCTGGAACTTATCAGTTAAATATTTTTAGTGCATTAGGCCTTATACACTTAGCTGTGGGACATCAATCCTTTCCTTCCCAGGATATTTTTGAACCTCTAGTTTTCTGATAGACCCAGGGAGATGTCTTGGCCTGGGCCACCTCCTGTGCCTCTGCAGTGACTCTGTCTGGTTCCTGTTTCCCACGGTCACTGCAGCTGCCCTGGGCAGCCCCAGGCCACGCCACCCAGACCTCTCTCTCTTTGTCAGTGATCTCCTCTGGAGGAGCTCTGGCTGGGTGCCAGCTACTCAGCAGCCATGGTCACTTCTAAGCTCACTTAGAAGAATCATTATTGTTTGTGCCCTCGGGTGCTTGCTTTGCTCTTCTGCTCTGCCTCTCAGGGCCTCAGTTCTATCTCCGGGGTGGGGATTATTCAGCACTACCACCCTTCCCTGTAATATCTGCTCTCAGAGCTCTTCTGCCAGGAAGCAAGAAAATGACCTTGTTCTTCTGTGCTCTGCTGGTCCAGGGGCCTGCAACATAGTTGTTTATGCTCCCAGGAGTTTGGCTCCTTTAGCTTCACACACAGCATTTTCCTCCCTAGATGCTGACAGGCGGCTGGAGTGGTTAGGTAGGGATGCCCTTCAGTGACTCAGAACTTACAGTTCCCTCTGACTCTAACGCCCTTTTCCTGGTCTGCATTCACCGTGGCTGAGCCCATCTTCTCCAGCACATTTTTACTTTCATGGATCTTATTGTCCCCTTCTTGTCATTTGAGGTGTTCCCTCCCTCCCCACTAATTGGACATACCTGCATAGGCCTGGACCTATGCAAGTATGAAAGCATTTAGAGTTCTTTTCTCAGGAGGTTTTTAGCCCAGTACAAACGAGAAGTCATAGCTAGTTATGAGGAGGTATCACCTAATTCACAGTTGGTCTTTCCTGTACCTCAGTTCCTCAGATCAGGCAGAGCCAGAAACTCTGAAAGGCCTAAAATAATTATTCAGAGCTATT